AAAATCAGTCTTTATTACTGGGCTTGAAGCCTTCATTGTTACTTGAGTATTTTGAGAAAAGTCAGGAAGCATTCATTCTGAGTATGGGGCTGTTTGGGCAACGTTTCTTTGTGACATAGAAAATACACAAATCACTTGAGACAATGTTCCAAACCCAGAAACAGTTTTTTCTTGAAAAAAAATTTAAAAAGCCAAAGTTTTTTACAGCTTTCCGTAAAAGGTTTTAAAATTAACTTTTACCTAATAGTATGCTCAAATACATGAAACGGATCTTAGAAAAAAAAAAAACAAACTGCATTTTTGCTCTTTGCAGTTTTTTTATTTTAATCATTTATAGATATCTTTGCTGAGTTGTTGTCAGGTAGAAGGGGAGGCTGGTTCTGTTTCCTTGAAAGCTGATAGAATCTCTTCCTGAGTCTTTGTTGTGGTACTTGAAGGAGTACTTTGCTCAGTCATTCTGAGTGCCTTCTGTAGGGGGAAAAACATCTTAGTCAACAGGAAAGATGTTTTGATGGTTTACCTCTTGTTTTATTAAATCATTCGACGTTGTTTAAGTTGTTTAACTTCATAATTTTGCTTTGTTTGGTAAAGATTCAAGGACGCTTTTGTATTTCTTCCTCGATCTTCAATATATGTTATTTCATATTTGGGCTTCACATTTCATGTAACTGTTTTGGCATCTTATTTTACAAGAGATTAAGTCTCTATTAGAATTTTATATTTTCCCCCTTTAAAATTGATACCTGTTTAAGAACTGATGGTGAGAGACTCAGACCCAGTTGTATGTAAAACGTAACAAAAGTCAACATATATTGCAAATGGAAATAATAATTATTTTTCTGATGGTAAAATGCGTGTTGAGTTTAAGGGTTGCTTTTTTTTTCACTCGCAATTGAATTAATTTTTGTAATAAGATGCAGAGTAGCACTGCCAGAACTTTTCCATCAAAGGTTTTGAGGTGTCCTTTGCTCACTAATTTTTGGTTGAGCTCCCACTCTCTGCTTTCCAAAGTTTTTTCCCCTTTTCTTGTCCTTTCTGTTTAGAAGTTCTGTTAATATTGCTCATAATTTCTTTTTTCTTCCTCCTCCAGGCACCAGAAGTGATACGGATGCAGGACAGTAACCCCTTTAGCTTTCAGTCAGATGTCTACTCCTATGGAATAGTATTATATGAACTAATGACGGGAGAGTTGCCCTATTCCCACATAAACAACCGCGATCAGGTACAGACCATCCCTTAGAACACTGACTGCCCTTTATTTCTGGGCACAGGACATTTCCTGGTCCTCAAGAAACGTAATATAAAGGCAAACGAAGAATTGAAATGTTATTTACAACATGATTTGTCTCAGCAGTAAATCTGTGTAATTGAATGTTTACTTAAATATTGACAGTGACGGTTACTCAGAGAGAAAAAAAATCCTTTTATATAAACATTTTAAGTGCCCTGTTAGTCTATTCATGGGTCCAAGCTTTTGCTACATCAGTAAAATCCTGATACATGTGAAATTTCCCTTTTGATGTGAAATGTGCTGTTCTTACATCATGAAGTTTGGACTGTGCTTTTTATGAAGTGACAAAAAAATAGTGGCTATTGTCAAACCTTTTAGTATTGCATGTTAATTTGTGTGATTTAGTTGTTACTCAGGTGTGATCTCCCCTTCTTCTTCTGGCTTAGCAAGTGCAGAGCTGACTCCTTCCATGTGGCATGAGCTTAGGACTGTTAGATCTCTTTGATCTCTGTTTTGCTGATCCTTGGTGGTGGTTTGTGTGTTTTGTTGGGTGGTTTTTTTTACATTAAGATGTAATAATGAGCAGTGTACGTGTATGGGGACTAGCGATGAGATTTCAGCCCCTATTATGTTACATGGTCTGTGTTCCAAATAGAAGAGGCCAATTCTATTAAGGAAGTTTTTCTTATTTTTAAGGTTGTCTGCAAATTGGGATATTGGAATGTGGTTTAATTAATAATATTGAACTTATATGCAAGCTTCAATAATCGTTATTGTCACAAAACATGTGACACCTGCCCCCCAAGTAGATTTTCTGGGGAGGGATAGAATATTTCCTGGAGAAAAACGCTGAGACGTTACTTTAGGAACATTATATTGATGGTTTTGTTTTCTGGTTTGGTTTGTGGTTTTTTTTTTTGAGACAACATTACGGGAGGGATAGAATATTTCCTGGAGAAAAACACTGAGACTTTATTTTAGGAACATTATATTGATGTTTTTGTTTTCTGGTTTGGTTTGTTTTGGTTTTTTTGAGACAACATTAGTTGAAAAAGAAACAATAGCAGAGTTACTCTGTATATTCCTCCTTCCCCTTGCCAGTAAAACCCTCAAACAAACAAAATCCCCTCAACCAACCAAACCTACCACCGTTTTACCAGATAACAGTCCTACCAATGCTAAGTAGTCAACTAATAAGGTTCCTGAAGCCTGGTGACAATCTTCAACAATGACCAGATTTACTTGGACTAAACCAGAAAATGTATTTTCCAACACTAATGATGTCTTTTGTTGTCCCAATCCAAACCCAGTTTCCTTTTTTGCTGCATTAGTGATATTTTGGGTAACCGATCGGGACAAATCTCCAAGTACCTGGGCGTGTGTGTGCCTCTGGTCCTCAGGTTTAACCACTCTGGGACACTAAAGCTATCGACCACTTAAACAACTTCTACACTTTGGTTTCCTGCTTCTCTTTCAGATCATTTTCATGGTTGGCCGAGGGTATGCGTCGCCAGACCTCAGCAAACTCTACAAGAACTGCCCCAAAGCGATGAAGAGGCTCGTAGCGGATTGTTTGAAGAAAGTTAGGGAAGAACGACCTCTGTTTCCACAAGTAAGTGTGTTTTCTGCATGTAACAGCTCCAGAGCATTTTATGAACAGCCACTGGTGCACCAAATATTCTCCAGGGATACAGGCTTTGGCTGAGAAACTGAAGGTAGAGATAGGAATGAGGTGCAGCTTCATTTAAAGCCTTTTTGTCTTTAGTCATATCTGCATGTGTCATAACCCATCTCCCTTAGGCAGGTCCTAGTTCTGATTGTACATAATTCCTGTAAAGGTTGTTGAAAAATATTATGCACTGAAACAGCATTAGACTAACACTGCAGCAATTTGCTTTTCAACATCTGGCCCATTTTAGAGATAAGAAAAAAAAAAAAAGAACCCTCCAAACCCTAACCCAGTAAAAATCAAATCTGTCTTTGTATTTACGTTGTGGTGTAGGTTTGAGGGAAATGAGAGACTGTTCCTCCTTTCCTTCCCCACAGCCACGAACAAGCAAACAAAATCCCCCGGGGGATTTAAGTTCATGTAGCGATTTTTGGCATTTTTACAAAGGATACTTTACCTTTTCCTGTCACTGTGAGGATGATGAAGGTACTTTCTTATTAAATAGGTGGAATTAACTATCAGCAGGTTTTGGAAAAGTAACTTCTTGCCGTTACAATCAAGTAGAACTTCTGTTGTTTAAAAAGTTGTAAGTGTTGGTTTTTAACAGAGCGTCAGGCAGAAGGTGCAATTCTTTCCCTGTTCCTCTGCTGGAGAGTGGGGCAGGTGCTTGTTAATTGATGATCATGTCTGTGAACTAATGAATCCTCTGAAACTCAGACCCCCCATAGCAAGGAAACTGGCCTATTCCCAGAGTGAGGGTTTCAGTGTCTCCCCAGAGTATGTTCTTGCTCTTCAGGATGTGCCTAAAGCCATAATAAGTGAAGGTTGAAGACTCAGAAAGACAAGCAGCTCTTTCTAACAACCCTCCTTGTCATTTTGTGTGTGTTTCTCCCTCAGATACTGTCGTCCATTGAATTGTTGCAACATTCTCTGCCCAAGATCAACCGGAGCGCCTCGGAGCCCTCCCTGCATCGCGCCGCCCACACGGAGGACATCAACTCCTGCACGTTAACGTCCACCAGGCTGCCCGTCTTCTAGGGCCTGCCCCCTCCCCTCCTCCTCCTCCTCCCTGGGGACGGGGCAGGGACAGAAGGGACACAAGCTGTGCTTTGGAAGGCCTCGGTGTACAGGATCAGTGCCAGCAGGGGTTACCTGCGTCCCAGTTGGAAGAACAAGCTGCTAAGGATTTCTGCAGTTCTTACCCTGCAGGGACACAGCTCCACATTGCCTTTTTCTACGGTTTCTTTTACTGGGATAGTTAACAGACTATGAATCAAGAGATCTATTACTATTTTTTTAATAGATGCACTTGAGCCTTATTTTCCCCCCGCTACACGGAAGCGATGGATGTTTCTTTGGCAGTGTTTCTGGATTGATTTGAATCTGTTTGATAAAAATGGGTGTGTTTTACAGCGAGGAGGGCTTGCCTCGGCGGTGAGGAAAACTGCGTTACGGTGCTCTTTGATTGCCCCGTGCCATTTACCACATCATTTTGGGGCAGTTTTGCCCAAAATGGGTATCTTCAAACAAAACTGAGGGAAGAGGAAAAAAAAAAAACAACAACAAAACAAAAAACAAACAACTTTCTGGAAATCAGCTCCTGCCTAAGAGCTTTCATCAAGCCAATGAAATAAGTTAAAATGCTAATTCAACACAAAATAGTTTTGCAATAGTTTTGCACATAGAAGAAAAACTCTTGCAAAAGAATGGAATCTATTGGGAACTGTTCTGCTCAGAGAAGGAAGCTGGCCAGGCTCGCTACCCTCACCTGCAGTAACTCCAGCAGCTTTTTGGTTTTTTTTGGTACTATTGACTTGTTTCTGGCAGCCCGAGGAGGGGGGTAAGTGGGGAAAGACGGGCTTTTGTGGCTGAGAAGAGGCTAATTAACATTACGCGTATACTTCTGCAAACGAGCGTAGTCTTCATCCCATCTGAAGCTGTCGTCCGAGAGATGCACTATCAAGAGGAAACTGAGCATATACAGTTTTTCTTGCTGATTTGGGTTTTAATTTTGTTTTTATTGCTCCTGAGAAAATGCATTTATTGTAAGCCAAGGTTCCTCTGATTATCTTATTTTAATAAAATAAATTAAATTTTAGGTTTAAGATTCAATGTCATCATTTAATGTAGTAATCCAGAGTTCGGACGTACACATCTCCAGTTGAAAAAACCCTCAGAAAATGACATTCTGAATCATTTTAAAAAGTTACTGGGATAGATGATATAGTAAAAACACACTTGATACGATGACCTATAGGTTTCCAATCATATTCTTAACAATATGGGTTTTATTCTACTGTAATAATCTTTCAGCAGCATCTGTGCATTAAGAACCCCCAGGGAGGTACTACCAAGCACCACTGGGTTTGCTCTGTGGGTGCTCTTCTGTCAACCTGGTGTTTGCTTGGGTGGAAGAGAGCGGTTTGTCTTGGCTGAACTTCACAGCTGACAAAAAAAGAGGTGGTTTAATCTAAGAATTTATTGTTTTATATAATATCTAGACTTTGTCCTCAGAATATCATACAATGAGAACACTAATCCTTTGGTGGTAATTGGACACAACCGTAAGATTTGCTTGCTAAAAAGTAAATTGAGGGTTGAAGGAAACTGTTCCATGTAGTTCTGCATTATTTTTCATAATATTCTTGCTATTTTAACTATTTTAACTCGCATCTTAACCTTCATTGTAGTAAGAGAGAAAGTTTAAGAAGGGGTGGGGGGGCAGGAGAAAGGATAAGCTGCTTTTACATTAGTTCTGATTTCCAGAAAGAAACCATTAGCTCCTGATTTTAAAAACAGGTTATGTGTCTCTTGAAAAATTAAAGGTTTTTTGATAAATAGGCTTTTTTTGACCAGCATTTGATGTCAAAGTAGATGAAAGCTGCTGAGTGAAGAGTTTAAGGGATCCAAGTTTAAATCTTAGCGCTCTTACATTAAAACTTGTCTCCGTGGTGCCTGTAGGTAGCTTTGAAAAACAAGTGAACTTCTTCATTTCAGACTATTGTTACCTGGTTTGTGCTGTCTTGAGGCAAACACCCTCTCCATGGGCTTTTTTATTAAAAAAGGGTGTATTTTATTACTGAAAATATTTCTCCCTGGGGAAAAAAAAAGGTGTGCAAGACCAGCTAGAGACAAGCTACAGCAGGGACACAATTTTGGGGCAGAAATTACGTTTTGAACATTGTTCTTGTAGTACTTGCATCTCTCTTAGGGAGACTTCTTCCTTCAGCCTTGTCATTAGTGATGAGGAATTACACTAATATGATTTACTGGATTTAGAGCTTTACTGGTGCCTTCATAGGCCAGTTCTAAAAAGAAGCTGACAAGTAAGTGGTTATAGAACAGTGAGGAGCTCAGGCCTTGGCAGGAAGTATTGTTAAAAATTAACTTTAGGATGAAAATAATGGTGGAAAAGTCTTATCCTCGAGCCATCGGTTAATTTGACCCTCTGCTTATTTTAAGAGCATGTTCTGGACGTGCTCAAGAAGACTCTGATCCCAACCACGGCTGGTTTGTGCTGTTCCTCAGCAGCTGCCTCTGTTGTGTCCAGTCTGAGGGAAGGCAGCGACCTGGAAAGGGGGCTGTTCTGTAACTATTATCTGTCAAAAAGGGACCCCTGGCTGTGCCAGAGCCACACGTGAGGGAAGGCAGCGACCTGGAAAGGGGGCTGTTCTGTAACTATTACCCTGTGCCAGAGCCACAGGCAGATACAGCAGCCTGAGATGGCTGTCTTTTTTCTTTTAAGAAAAGCAGCCATTAAAACAAATAATTTTCAGTTACAAAAAGCAACAATTCATGTTGTAGAGCTGCAAAATTTAAGATCACCCACATAAAAAGATGAGAAAAATTACATAGTTACTTCATTTAATTTTGGCTACTTCATTTAACCGAATCGAGGTTTCCCTTCCTGTTAAATACATTTGAACTAGTTAAATTGAAAAAAAATAATATTTACCTGTTACTGTTGCGATGCCTATTGACAGTAACTACTTGCTCTCATTACACAGTTTCCAAAATCCTGTCATTTCTATTGCTCTGCCTGGATTGTATTTGCTTACAAAGGACGCTCTAGGGGACGCTTCCTGCCACTATATATACTTTAAATAATTTTAAAACACAGTCAAAAAACCCTAAAGATTTGCAGAATATTTGAGAGCCAGGCAGGGTCCAGGCCCCGCTCCTGCAACACTCATTGTAGGAACACAGCAAATTGATTCTGAACTCTGCTTTGAGGTATAGCACATTAGTTCTTAAATCTCCTTTTTAAGGAAGAAAAAAGCTCTACTGACCGTTATTCCCAGTGGCTTTTTGTGGATATACGTTTAGTTGATTTAGTGGAGGGGGAAGGAGAAAAAAAAAAAGCACCCAAAATAGATCAAAATAGATGTAGCAAGTTTTGAACAGCTTAAGCTTTAACTGGTAAGAGAGGAGCTGTATTTACACGACCACTCAGCTCACAAGACAGCGCACGTTAGGCCAAAGAGGGAGAAAACCCTCTTGGGATGGAGGGATTTTTTTTTTCCATGCAATCAGTTTAACCTTTTTAAATATATTTTCGGATTTTTGTTGCCATACAAAAAAAAAAAAACCCAAACAAACCCAACCCAAAACTATCTGAAAACTTTACCAAGACTGCACAAGTAAACCACGGGGCACGGCCACTCTAAGCGTGCTGTAGAGAGTAAAAAGCACAGTTGAATCACCACCAGCTCGCTCGCTGGAGAAGACACCACCTTTGGGGCTCTTTATTGAGAAGTGGTGGAATCCTCATCCGCCCCGGAAAGGTGCATGAAAAGTTCTCCAAGTTCCGTGACTCCATCCTCTGTGCTGCTCACAGTCCGACTCTCCCGGTCCTCGATGAAGTCCCACAGTCGGACAGAATTGAAGAACTGGAAGAGAAGAAAGTGCCCCTTGTTACTCTTGTTGCTTCATTAAAAAGAAAGAGAGTGAGAGGCTGAAAAGCTGGGTTGAACTGGAAGAGAAGAAAGTGCCCCTTGTTAGTCTTGTTGCTTCATTAAAAAAAAAAATAAAGTGAGAGGCTGAAAAGCTGGATTTGGGTCAGAGAAGGGCAATGGAGCTGGTGAGGGGTCTGGAGCACAAGTCTTGTGAGGAGAGGCTGAGGGTGTTCAGCCTGGAGAAGAGGAGGCTGAGGGGAGACCTTCTCGCTCTCTCCAACTCCCTGAAAGGAGGGGGTAGCCAGGGGGGGTCGGTCTCTTCTCCCAAGGAACAGGTGATGGGACAAGAGGAAATGGCCTCAAGTTGCACCAGGGGAGGTTCAGGCTGGAGATTAGGACCAATTTTTACACAGAAAGGGTTCTTAAGCCTTGGAATGGGCTGCCCAGGGAAGGGGTTGAGGCCCCATCCCTGGAGGGATTTGAAAGACGGGTGAAGACATTGCTTAGAGACACGGGTCAGTGATGGGTTTTATCAGAGTGAGGTTGATGGTTGCACTAGATGATCTCAAAGGCCCCAACCCAGACAATTCTATGATTCTATGATTTATTAACACTCTCGGCAACGTTCACTGTTAAATTCAAAGAAATACATAAAAGAACAGCATTGTAAGTCAAAGAAATTAAACTATTTTTATGAAAGTTGAATTTCAACACTGTAACACTCCTTAGTGCTACAATATGGCTACAGTGAGCTCAGACTGGCCCGTACTAACGAGCTGTATCGCCATTAAAGCAGCAGGCCAAGCCATAATGAGTTTTTTGAGAAGGTTTTAACCTTCTTGGTCTTACTTCCAGCTCTCTGCAGGGACGCGAGATGAGTTTTTAATACTTTAACAGCAGAATTCCTTTGAAGAAAGGTTTGCCATGAGAAGGACTGGTTGAAAAAAATAACCAGTCATAAATTTTTGCTATTAAATAAAAGGCACCTTCTCCTTTCCCTGGTAACAAACCTCTGCCTCAAGGAAAGTTCACTTTTCCAAGGCATGAAATGTATTTAAGTCGTGCACTTTACATGGAAAATGTGTTTTTAATTGCTGTTGCTGGGAGCACCCCCTTACCCGCACGGTGCCCTCAGAGCTCAGCTGCTTCCGCGGTTTCTCAGGTTCCGCTCGTGTCCCGTCTGGGTAAGCGTGAAGGTAGAGACACTTCCCTCCAAAGGGGCAAGTTCCTTTCCCTTGTTCAAAGTACTTGCAGGGCTTTTTCCTGATTTCATTAGAAGAGAGAGAGTTACTGCCTTCAGCTGGTAAGGAAGTAGAGAGGTCACACTCCCTGGCTAATACATAAAAGACCAGCATCAGAAGTCACAGAGATTTAACATGGAAAATGAGAGATGTTCAAGGAACACTGATCCTACACGTGCATTTGCATTATAATGAGCAAATATGTTGCTATTTTTCTAGGATTGCTGCTGCTACGTGTTTATGAACCAGTTCCTCTCACCATCTCCTTTGGAAGATTTAAATAAAGTATTGTCCCAGGTTTCCATCAGCTTTGTTGTCCAACCAAGCCGTTCTAGCTGTGCACCAAATTTTAACAAAGGTGTTCCTTACAAAGGGCACACAACCGCCCAGCTCCTTTGGAAGATTTAAATAAAGTATTGTCCCAGGTTTCCATCAGCTTTGTTGTTCAACCAAGCCGTTCTAGCTGTGCACCAAATTTTAACAAAGGTGTTCTTACACCTTCAGCACACAACCATGCTCGGGCAGAGTGGTTCTACAAAAACAAACACCTACAGAGAAAATGTAATTGAGCTTGTCCCCTTAGTAGGCACTGATTCCTAAGACACCTGTCAAACCTACAGCCTATCGAATAGCAACTAAATGGAGAAGAAAGCTCAACAATAACCAAAAAACCCCAAACCCCCCAGCCTGGCAGCGCACTAGAGGCAGAATGAGTTTGCCTTGGTTTGGAACCCAGGTGGTCTGTGACTTCCACCTTTCTAGGTTGGACTTTTTTAACCTTGCACAGGTGTATGAATCAGAATAGATTTGTGCTGGTGTGACCCCTTCTCTTTGCTCAGATGGCCCTTCATTAGCATTTCTTCATTCCAGACAATACTAAATCCTCAAGTTAAACTGACCTCCAAGAGCTCCATCCATAGAATGTCTGTACCAAAGAGGTTTTTATCTCCAACACCATTTCTCAGCCTCAAGCTGAGCTCTTAAGCAAAACCCCTTTTTGTGTTCTCCTCTGTACATCCAGTTGCCAAGAGCCAAACCCAACCTGGGGGACACCCTGGCACCTCCATTCCAGTGACACAGAACCTGACCCCGCTGAGACGTGGCCCTTCACAAATTGCAGGCCTTTGAGTGCAACTTTCCACCCTCAATTCAAAGTCCTTAAGAACTGAAATGAAAACCCAGGCCAGCAACAGGGTATTGAAAACAAAGTGCAGCTGAAGAATGCAGCCAGGGAGTATTTTCCCTTTCCAGTAGACAATACAAAAGCCCCATGAATTTTTATCCCATATTTCAAGAGACTATTACACTCCCCTTCCCTATTTGTTTTCCTCAGTAACTGACAACCTTCCAGGCAATTAATTACGTCTGAGGGATCAACAGAAAACAGAAATAGCTTCCACATTTCAGAGCACAGCGAATCTGAGTGACTTCTGATCTAGAATCACACGACAGACCTTTTCGGGGCAGTCACAAAGCCAAATAAAAGCACTAACAGATATTAAGAGTTCTCTGTAGAAGGGTTTGTAACGATATAGTTTAAAAATACTGGCATTTTGGTTGACAAAGTACACGAGTCTTGGTGTATGTGCCCTAAGGACAATGCACCCAGCCTCCGTGGTCACTGAACTTACCCCACTCCCTGCTTAAACGCTTCGATCAGCTCGTTTTTCTTCTCCTGGTCTTCCACCCAGTAAGCACTGGGGATGACAAACTCGGATATCACACGGCACTCTGGGCAGGACCTGGACAGAGCAGGACAGACCAGGGACACTCCGTTACCTCCTGAGCAAGATGCTCCTCAGTACCTTTGCCAGAAAGAGCAGCGTCCCACAGGAAAGGGAGCTGGTTTCCACCCAGTAAGCACTGGGGATGACAAACTCGGATATCACACGGCACTCTGGGCAGGACCTGGACAGAGCAGGACAGACCAGGAACACTCCGTTACCTCCTGAGCACGATGCTCCTCAGTACCTTTGCCAGAAAGAGCAGCGTCCCACGGGAAAGGGAGCTGGTTTGTCACCCCGAAGCACAGACACCTCCTCGCGCGTCACCACGGCACACGGGCACCTTTGGTACCAGTTTCAAGTGAAATGACCCAATTCAGGGCACTCAGGGCTTGTGCCGCCTTGAGTTTGTTTCTAGACTTGAACAAAAGTACCAGGTATTTCCTCAATACACAAAGGTAAACCCCACCTGCTGATCCCAGGGTGCACAAACACCCCGTGGCTGTTACGCTGCAGAAAGCCAAACCCCTCCAAAAAAAGACACAGGAAGGTCTCTAAGCCTTTTGAAACGTCACCTTTGCCAGCAGCGATGAGTCGTTCACTTGGTGGGTTTAGGAGATGGATTTCTACACAAAAAACTACGATCCAGAATGAAATACACAGCTCCAGGTACCTCAACAGGCCCAGGAAAGGCTTTATTACCCCCCGCCCGAGTCCCCCAGAACACCCTGATCCCAGCAGGAAGGGCTTTTAGATCTAAGCCAAGTCCCTCCTTTAGATTCACTTTGCAACAACCAGCGTGTTCAACGTTATGGAGAAATGTAAAAACACGTTTGAAGGATTTCAAAATGGATTCTAGGGTGCTGTTTCTGAAAAAAATACCCCCAAACCCTCACAGTCCCCAGCGTAGGCAGAATATCTCAGTACCTGTCCAGCAAGAGCTCGACTCCAATACGAGTTACGTCCTAACGAGCTAACATTCACTTCAGTGACATTTATAATGAAGGCTGTGCAGAAAAGCCTCTTTTGGCAGCAGATTGAAAATATTTCCCACTTTTTCTTCAGCAGGCTTGTACCTTGAGAGAGCTTTCAACGAGATGCTCAAACAAGGAGTCTGCCCTAATCAGATGGTTTAAATCCTCATCTAAAATCTCACCTAATAAGATGCATGTTTGGCATACATTTTTTATAGAGCTAAAAGATAAAGGCATTTATTCCGATACAGCCCAGGGAGGTGGTTGAGGCACCATCCCTGGAGGTGTTCAAAAGACAGGTTGATGTAGTGCTGGGAGGTATGGTTTAGTGATGGTGATGCTTCTTGTTTGTTGTGTGGGTGTTTATTTTTGTCAACATGAGGTTGACGGTTCGACAAGATCATCTTTAAGGTCCCTTCCAACCTAGAAGATTCTGTGATTCTGTGTGATTAATGGGAGATTTAGCTTGGGTAAGCTATAATTTAGAGAAAAATCCAGTAATTAAGCATGTAGATAGAAAAAAAAGGAGTCACTGGTTTTGCACCCAGGTTACTGTGAAGGACAGAGGTCGACTCAGCTGCCCCAGAGTCCACATCCGTGCACTTTGCCTACCTTCAGTGCAATGAGAGAGGGAAAAGTCACAAAGGGCCAAGCTCTTCCCATACAGGATGGCAGCACGTAAATAAACCGTTACCAAAGGGTAACTGATGTGTTCTCCTGGTCTTGAAGGTAGCTCTTCTCACAGCCACACTCCAACGTCCTGGAATTTGCCAGCGCTTGGACCAGGATTTTCTGAGCTCAGACCTTACTAATAGCTTTGTCAGTACTGAGAGCTACAGAACCCCTTCTCACCAACACAGGCCACGGGGAAGGGACTCTGGAGAACATGAACTTTGCCCCAGAGTCCACATCCGTGCACTTTGCCCACCTTCAATGCAATGAGAGAGGGAAAAGCCAAAAAGGGCCAAGCTCTTCCCATACAGGATGGCAGCACGTAAATAAACCGTTACCAAAGGGTAACTGATGTGTTCTCCTGGTCTTGAAGGTAGCTCTTCTCACAGCCACACTCCAACGTCCTGGAATTTGCCAGCGCTTGGACCAGGATTTTCTGAGCTCAGACCTTACTAATAGCTTTGTCAGTACTGAGAGGTACAGAACCCCTTCTCACCAACACAGGCCACGGGGAAGGGACTCTGGAGAACATGAACTTACTTTATGATGGGATTCTCGAACTGCTTGGCACATCTCCACTGCCGGATGCAAGACAAGCAGTAGGTATGGTTGCAGTTGGAAAGGATCCCAAACCTCCTCTCGGAGGCCGAGGGTTTCTCGTACACCACTTCCATGCAGATACTGCACACTTTGTCCTGACTTGCCTGAAAGGCAAAGGCCTTCTCCATGTCGTGCTCGAACGTCGCCATGCACATCTGTCACGGGAGAGATGTCACTGGTTATTGCAGCCACATAACAGCCTGCTCCTCCTAAAACAAACGTGTCTATGAAAAGGATCTGTGACAGGAAAAACACTCATTAAGAGCACCATTCCTACCCTTCATTAATTTTAAGAACAGTAAACTCAATCACGTATTTCAGCCCTTCGGTGTCCTCTGCAGCTTCAGGAGTATCAGAAAGGAGGCTGCTTGAGCATTTACTTCTTTTTGTACCTCTGTCATGGAACAGGAATTGCACAAACACCTCTAAAACCATCTAATTCTGGGTCCAGGATGGGTATTACACTCAAGATGGGGATTACAACTCAAGATGTTTCTCTCCTTACCATTAAGGCCACACTTACTGACCCAACACCAAGCTTTACCCCTGCTCAGAAATCAGTCTCTTACTCCAGGCTTTTCCCACAGCACTTCTCATCCCAGCACTGACACTCAACAGCCAATTTACACTTTCACAGCACTACGCAGTGAGCTGCTGGTTACACCTCCATAGTTCCACCACTTTTCAAAGCTCTCAGGACCTGACAAATAAACTTAAAGCTTTCAATTATAATAATAATTTAAAAAAGACATAAAATAATTCCACATTAGTAGCAGCACTTTGCCTACTGCACCTTCTCATCCAACCCACACCTCTGCTTCTGGAGCTGAGCACCTGACAGCAGTGGTGACAGGACAATATGCCAGATACCAAAAAGCTCCCAGGAGAAGTGGGAACTCCTACAGCAGCATGTTTTGCAAGTATATGCTGCTCGCACAAAACCAGAGGTTTTTAACCCCTTGGATTCTACTCCAGACTCTGGAGAGACACATGATTCAGTAACCATTAACGCTGCTGGTCTTCTTCCTCCTCAGCCTTGAGAACTTCTGTACCTGACCTAGATCTGGTAGCCAGGCAGAGAAAAAAGCAGCCCCTTAAGGATATCTTTACCCAGCCAATTCCTCCTCCGGTCCCTCCAGCTGTCCTACTTCAAGTTCAGCTCCAAAATGTTCATACTCCGTCGAGTCTGTCCCTACTTGACCCTGCCCTGAAATCAGCCACGACCAAGAGGAGATGTGTGAAGAGGTCTCAGATCAGAGACCTCCAGAGAGATGAGAGCGATCTCCCAGGAGGCACCAGCAGCCCACAGCTCCTCTCTCCTGCTGCACATAACGCACCACTGCAGCATCGTGTGAGCTACAAAAGACCTTCTCCTGGTAGAGGTTTAGGGTGCTCTGGGAGAAAGCTGCCAGCAAGTTTCCCATAAGGATGAAATGGGAAAAAAAGGAAGCTGCTGTAAAAGGCTACCTGCGCCATCACTACCATTTAAGTCCTAGATACTGGAACATGCCTCTCTTAGGATCGTTTTATAACTAAATAAACACAAAAAAAGGAAGCTGCTGTAAAAGGCTACCTGCACCATCACTACCATTTAAGTCCTAGGTACTGGAACACACCTCTCTTAGGATCGTTTTATAAATAAACAACAAAACAATAGCTCTTTGGAACAACAGGCTCTTCTGCAAAACACATCTTTGGATTTTAGAGCAAACAACCCCGAATCCTGCACCGAGCAACGCAAATCTCACAGCGATTGCGTGTCAATGTTACCATCTCGTGAGCCTTCCTCTGCTCCTGGTCGAAAGGGTGAAGTACTTGCAAGCCACATATCTCGCAGACGTCCCCGTGGAGGTAGAGGCAGCGGTCCCCGAAGTGGCAGGCTCCCGCCGCCGCGTAAGGACACAGCTGCTCCCCATCGGCACAGGCGCTGCCGGCCGCCGGCTCCTCCAGCCCACTGCAGATAGCTTCCAGGTAGGAGTGGGGCTTCACTTCCAGGTTATCATTTTGGTCACTGCAACACACCACCTCGCTCGCCGCGCCGGGCTTCTGCTTCTCTTCATTCAAGCCACACAGATCTTAGGAAACAGAAACGTAATAGGAACCGTATTACGCTCAAGACACTGCACAAAACCCACACAAGGAGCTCCACGTACTTTGTTTCCAATGGTTACCAGGTGGGTTTTTCTTTTTAAAAAAAAAAAAAAAAAAAAAAAAAATTCCTCTCATCTCTAAGGCCCTTTTACTCACAAATCACAAGAATTTTCACAAGCTACCTACTGAAAAGTTCGATTTCAAGATTTCTCCACCTGTTTTCTATTTACAAATAGGGTAAAAAACCCTCTTATATTTCAGATGGTCATAAGATGTGGTGGTGAGAAGAGCGAGCAAGCAGAGGGGGGGCTTGGCTCCTCTGCCCCCACTGCTCCGTGCTTGTGTTCCTAAGGGCTGGCACAATCCTCCACGTGCCACAAAGCAGCCAGGTTTCTCACCATTTCAAATGCTTTCATGTTGAGAACAAAATGCACATAAAGATCTGAGCGGTAGAGATATTTTAACCAAAAAATCCCACCCCAAATCAAACCCAAAACCCATCCCAATAAATTCCCCAAAGCAAAAGGCATCCTTCAGGGAACATTAGGCTAAAAACAAGTCAGATGGACACGGTCACTAAAAGGTACTGGTGGGCAAAAGCATTTATAGGAAAGAGTCCTCATCAGGTAGGAAGTGTGTCTGCACCTCTCCATGAAACTCAAGGAATAAAGGGAGAAAAAACAACCTGACTCCCACCAAGCGCCAGGGAGGAGGAGGAGGCACAGCACCCCTCCCACTCACTTCTGTCCCTGAGCACCAGTGTCTTCTTCTCCCGCTTGCCCGTCTCGCGCAGCTTGCTCCGGACGATGGGCGCGCTCTGCTCAGGGGGGTGGCGAGGGTTGTGCAGCGCGGCCGAGGAGCGGGGGGTCGGCGCAGGGGCTGCTGCCCCCCCTGGGGCAGGGAGCCTGGTGTGGTCGTACCTGCAAAAGGAAAGAGAGGTGGGGAGTAGGACTCAGGAGGTGCTGGTCCCCCTGTACCGGGCACTGGGGAGGTCCCACCTCAAGGGCTGTGTCCAGTTTTGGGCCCCTCACCACAAAGAAGACATTGAGGGGCTGGAGCGGGTCCAGAGAAGGGCAACGGAGCTGGGGAGGGGTCTGGAGCACAAGTATTGTGAGGAGGAGCTGAGGGAGCTGGGGGTGTTCAGCCTGGAGAAGAGGAGGCTGAGGGGAGACCTTCTGGCTCTCTCCAACTCCCTGAAAGGAGGGGGTAGCCAGGGGGGGTCAGTCTCTTCTCCCAAGGAACAGGCCATGGGACAAGAGGAAATGGCCTCAAGTTGCACCAGGGGAGGTTCAGATTGGAGATTGGGAACAATTTGTTCACGTAAAAGGGTTCTTAAGCCTTGGAATGGGCTGCCCAGGGAAGGGGTTGAGGCCCCATCCCTGGAGGGATTTGAAAGACGGGTTGACACGTTGCTTAGAGACATGGGTTAGTGATGGGTTTTATCAGTCAGGTTGATGGTTGCATCTCAAAGGCCCCAACCCAGACAATTCTATGATTCCATAAAAAGGCTAAACTTGGCGTGGTGGAGGTACACGGCCCCAGTGAATATTTAAACAAAATACAACTGAATAGCTCCTTTTTTTAAAAAAAAAAAAAAAGGATTGTTCTGAAGTTGACTGAACTGCTCAGTTTCTTTCAAAGCCAGAGTAAAAGGTTTCTCAGCCTCAAAGAATGGACACCTCTCGAAGCACACCTATATTTTCTTCTCCAGAGATATCCAGCACCGCTGAAAGAACATCACTCATATGCATATTAAATTAGTTCTTCGTCATGTCCTCACACAAATGGTTTGCTGGCATTTCTCAGAGAAACAACATCAGGGTGCTGTGCGGGAAGGAGCAACCTTTCGTGATCTCCTTCTCCCCCTGCAAGCAGCAGCACTTAGACTCGATGCTCCCCCAGCACAGGAGAAGATGCAGGGTTTGCAAACAGATAGGAAAGTACTCAAAACATCTGTTAAAGCTACAGAAACACACTCCAGCAGCAGCACAGAAGCAATCAGTGCAGTAAAGATCCAAATTTCGTGCCGTGAACTAAGCAAAGGAAAGGAAATAAAACTAAGCCACTGCAATCACAGCAACGCCATGAGATCCCCCATTCCCATCAGGTGAAGGTACAAACACAGCTTTCTCACCCATGAACAGAATTTTTCCCCAAAAAACTTTCCATGCTGCCCGTCCCTGATGGAATGTAACAACAGTAACTAATGCAGAGTATTTACACAGAGTTTCAACCAGAGGACTTCAGGAAAAGGTGTGGCACTGGTTCAGCTTTCACACCAAACTTCGGGGAGCACCAGAAAAACACTTTGCTCTAAGGCAGAACTGAAAGTCCTCAAAAATTGGGTGTTAGAATCCACATGAGGGAGGCTACGGGCTACATCAGGAGACCTGAGCGAAGGGCTGCTGAAACACCACCTGGTTCCAGGCACTTCAGTCACATGGAAAGCAAACCATGGAGCCAAGTCCCATTTCGTGTGAAGCTGCAGGTATTTTTTGTATTTAATAGGTTTTACTATAACAAGAACTGGATTACAAAAAAATAAATACGTAAGACCTGAAGCTTAATTTCTACAGAGTAAAATACCTGGTGAAGCCAAGGCAGAGTAAAACTACAATATCGCATCCACAAGCTGGTTTGGGTCAGGGGAGAAAAAACTTATATTTACTACATTATTTCATTTGTTGTTGAAAAAGTCTTATCTTTTCTCCATCTTTGATTTGCTGTTCCAAAAGGAGTGGGGTCTTTACCTGCACCGAGTCCCATAGGCACACTGTCCCTTCTGGTAGTACTTGCAGATGGTAGAGGACTTGCTCGTAGACAAGTCATGCGAGAAGAGACACTTGCTTCCCTCCCGACACACTCCTTGCAAGTAGTACCTGGGGGAGGAGGAGGGCGTTACGGCTTGAGGAACCCACAACAATTTACTGCATTTTGGACAATTATTCTCTCACCCCGTGACCTCTCCCCACCTGGGAAAGGGGATCAGAAAAAAAAACAAGGAAACCCCAGGGTTGAAATGTGAATAGATCTAGTAGAATAAGACTAAATAATTAACATTAGTAATACTAAAGTACCAGCATTGATCTTGATACCAATATAAAATACACAAGGGCTATCCCCACCCCATCCCAGGGAGCCGTGCCCTCCCAGCAGGGACAGCCCATGTGGGACACCACGAGAGATGTGGCTTCGGGAGGGAGGGAAGGGCTCAGGGCTCCAGCACCGTGGCAAGGAGTTCTCTGGACCATCGCCATCAAGGGAGAGAGAGAAAACTCCTCAGCAAACTTTCTAATTTATATTGAATGTGGCATTCATGGTATGAAATAACCCTGTTGGCAGCTCAAGGCAAGCGCCCGGGTCTCCGAAATAACCCTGTTGGCAGCTCAAGGCAAGCTCCCGCGTCTCGCTCCTCCTCATCCCCACACCCAGAGAGCTGGAAAACAGCGAGACCTTGAACCCCCCACACCAGAGCTGGCTGCAAAGTAAACATTTTCACGAATTCAGACGCTACGGTCTTCCAAAAGTGCAGTTCTTTCTCCCAGGCCTCAGACGGGAATCCAGCCCCGTGTGGCTCGGACAGGCCGGAGGCGGCTCAGAGAAGCCCCTTCAGCGCGGAGGGGGGACACGGACGGGGGTCGGTCCCGGGGGGAACTCTGCAAACCCCTTCCCGTCCCGGGGCGGCGGCGCTGGGCCCTCAGAGCGGAGCTCCCGGCTGGAGGCGGCCCAGCCTCGCCGTGACCCCCCCCCGGCCCGTCCCGCCGCCGCCTCCTCACGGGCCCAGGCCCGGCACCGCCCGGCCTCCGCCACCGCCACCAGCAGCAGGGAGAGGCGGGGCGGAGCGGCGGCCATGGCGGAGGCCGCCATCCTGCGGGTGAGGCACTGCCGCGCCGACATCTTCTGCCGCCGGGCCCCGCCGCGCTGCCCCGCCTGCGGCCTCCCCCTGAGCGGCGCCGGGCTGTCCGCCGCCCCCCTCCGCCTGCCCAGCCCCTTCCGATACGGCCACCGGCAGCCCCGCGCCTTCCTCCTGCGGCCCACCGCCGGCTCCTTCCTCGGGTAGGGCCCGCACCGGGGGGAGGCCTGGCGGGAAGGCGCCCCGCGCCTTCCTCCTGCGGCCCACCGCCGGCTCCTTCCTCGGGTAGGGCCCGCACCGGGGGGAGGCCTGGCGGGAAGGCGGCTCCCGCCTTGTGTGCCCCGGGGCCTGTGGGGAGCCCCCCTGTCGAGGGCCTTCGCCCAGCCGGGAACTGACCCGCCAGGCCCCGCTCTGGAAATAAAACCCGGCTTTTCCAGGTTTTCAGTAGAGTTTTGCCTCCCCAGGCAGCACCTGCTGTGAGACAGAGACAGGGCCGAGCGATGCTCAGGTCCATCACCAGCACCACTCTCTGTCTTTCAGAGGATACGACGGGGAATCCGACCTTCACGTTGGAATAACCAACAGTCACGGTAAAAAACACTTTGTAGAATCGTCTGGGGTGGAGGGGATCTTTACAATCGTTGAGTCCAACCATTAATCTAGCACTGCCAAAAACACTTTGTAGTTGCCTTTCAAAGCACTGCCCATCTCCCATACCTCATATTTAGACTGTACGCCCAGTTTTGGCCTCCCCCCTCCGCCTATGATCACTGAATTACATGGCAGTTATTTCAGAGCCACCTCAGCTCCTGCGGCAGCACCTGGTACCTCTTAAAAACACTGCAACATCCAAGGATCTGATGCTTTGCTGTTGAAGAACGTAATTCCTCAGCCTGCTGCGGGTACCAGAACCAGGAACTTAGCCATTCGCTACAAAACAGCATCACATAAAGATCAGAAAGTCTCAAATACAAGAATTTATCCCACAGATAAATTCACAGAGCTTCAAATCAAAGCCACAGACCTCTCCTCTCGTGCTGAGGAGCTGCACAGAATGGAATTGAGAGGTGACTTCTGTTCCTGACACAGGGAAATAAAAAAGTTACGCAGCCTACTTTTAAAAAGAAGTTTCAGGAAATGTTGACTTAAACAAATTTTTTTGCTAATTCTAAAAATACCCCTAATTTAAAAAATAAATCCCCCCATTAAAAAAAAAAAAAAGCACATTAAAAATCACATCAAGTTCTCCTAGAGTAGGCCCACCTTGTAAAATCTCACTTGAGATGTTTATTTAATACAAAAGTGGTCTAATTTGTGGGTTTAAAAATGAGGTCTGGTCATCCTTAAGTTGCTTTCCTTATGAAAAGACATTTGAAATTACACTGTAAAAAAGAACAGGTTTTTGATTAGAAGCATTTTCTACTCTGTGGCCAGTGATGGGAAGCTAGGGGATAGCTAGTCTAAGGAAGAATGGCAGCGTGGAAAACTAGTAGTAGTAGTTTTTCCCACTTAAAATAAAGAAAAAGGATATAAATGTGATTTTCCAATTTGTTGGAGATTCCTTGCCAATCTGTTGCTCTTCGTTTTCAGGTGTGGTGTATAATTACAACGAAGAGGGCATTCACAGAGCTGAAACTGGATGGGAACAGTGCATAAGTATCCCACTAGTGCAACCAGACATGTTTGGGCTTCTTCAGGAGTGGGATAAGCTCCTAGAGGAATTTTCTGTGGGAGAGGCCTGGCTTCCTCACAGGTATGTAGTTTAAAAGCTGGGTGCAACAGGAGTTTTTAGTTGGGGATGATAAATGGGGCTATTCCATTTTGGATCCTGTGAGGCTTATGGTTCATTCAGAGCTTTGCTCTTTTAGAACACGCATTTCTACCAAACCAGTCCAAACAACGCTGTCGGGCTGTCTTGGAACTTAGTGGCCTTCCTAAACAGAGAAAGAGTATTTTTAAGTCGGAAGTAACAAAAGCATCTGCTGGAATGTGAAAGCTCTAAAATAAGAGATCATTTTAGGGAAGTTTTCTTCAACAACAAAATAATTTTGCATGAAAAAAAACCCCAAAACAGTTCAGTGAAACATTACCTTTAAGAGTAGCTGCCAAGTACAGAAGTAGGAAAGTCCAGGCGCAATTCTATAACTATTTCCTCTAGGTCTCAGCAGTTTTAGGTGTATTTGCATTTTCACACTGATGGGATTCTTGCCCGCATCGTGCCTCCAGATGACTCCTTCCTTTGTTGTCAGTGATCAGAAATGGGAAACACACTCGGGCTGGTTTCCAGCTCTTCCAGCTGGTTCCTAACATTGCTTTGGATAGTTAAATACAGAACGACTTCCACATATTTTGAATTGAACCAGCATGTTCCAATGAGAACGCTTGCTTCTTTGTAGCTTTCCTTGAGTTTCATGCCCGATGACAGCGTTACGAGTTGTTTGGCCTGGCTAAAGCGTGTGTTGCCACGTCACGGAGCCTGCTGATGGACCAAGCAGCCTGTTGTGAGGAAAGGCCAGTCCTCGGCCCGCTCCTCAGTAACAGCACATGGAACAGACAGCCCAGCCGAGCAGAGGCCTGTGAATCATTTAAGTTAATGAACACAAACGCCATCTTATATAAAAGCCAAAAAAAAAAAAAACCCACAACAAATCAAAAGCAGGTTTTAGCAATTCTGTAAGCGCTTGACTATAAAATTTCAGAGATAATGTGATAATGTGTTATTTCCCCAGCATCAGGAGATGAAAGTATTTGACCTAGAATAGAATTTTTAAATGTCCACGAACTTGTAAAGCCAACAGTATTTGTGTCTCTCTCACACTCTTACAGTTCCCAGTGCCTTACCACCTTCTACCAACACTTTTTTGACATCAAGTTAATTTTTAGTAACAATGGTATCTCTTCTACAAGCTTTTATTTGTTTTTCCTTGGTCTGCAACCTCCTGACAAAGTGACCTACTTTTTCCCACAAATGACCAGTAAACTGCTGAAAACTGAACTTTTTTTTTTTTTTAATTGTTAAATTAACTCCTCTGTTTATTTTTTCAATGGACAGGAACCGTGCTAAACTAATCCTGTAACTCCTTTGGGTTCAAGCCAAGCCTGATTCTAATTTTCCTGATTGCTTTTCATTTACTGGAAGAATGGTAAAGAACAGCAGTAAAGAACAGTGGCCACAGCCATGACCAACAGTACCTTAATTGACTGAATTACTGAGAGATCCTGGGTTTACTTGTCAGGATATAAAGACATACTTCCCAGATGTAATTTCCAGATGTTTTGCACTGCACAGTGCTGATGGCCATTCTTTAAGTTACTCAATTATTTTTCTTTAGCAATTAGTTGAGAAAACTGTCTGGACCTGGGCTCAGGGTCCCAGGGTTGCTTTTGATAGTCGTAGTCCTCAGATGTTGCAAAACCACCCTGTAAATTCCCAGGGCTGACAGGCAAACCTCCCAGCAGATTCCCTGTGGCAACAGGGACCATGGAGCCACTGACAGTGGAAGGCAAGGAGCGAGTCACAGGGCTAGGAAGAACAAGGGGAAAATGAGATGGGATGAGGCAATTACAGAAGGTGGCTGAGGATTAGGCAAATGGCAAACAGGTCTGCATCAAACAGTTACACAGGGCCCCTGGAAAAAGCAGCATTACGTGGGGAGGGAATGGAATAAATTAGTGAAGCTGTTAGTGGCCAACATGAAACATCTGGGAGAATCTGAGAAACATTCTGAGAGTGAAAAGACAGGTGAGTGCTGTGTGCTCCTAGGTCAGGGTAATGGGGAAAAAAAAGAAGAAAGAAAAATGAGAACATTTTAAGTGGCTTCTCTTATTCAGTGAGTATTTCTGTCCTTGCACAATTGGCACAAGTTATTGCCAATGGGAGTTTGACTGGCACACCGTACAGCAACTGTATCAACCAATGTAGTAGCCATAGAATTTGATTTTAAGTGAGCTCCCAAGGTAATGCTACACTGAAAGAAGTGAGAAGTGCACGTGGTGGCACACAATTAGCATTACTGCTGCAGGAAGACGTTTTCAAGATAACGAGTAACAATACATGGAAGAGCAAAGGTTAACAAGGTAAAAGCTAAGTAAGTCTAAAAAATAAGAACTCATTATTGTAATAAGTTGGCACCCTTTTTTTTTTTTTTGTATTATTTTCACAGT